CCTTTAGCTCCGCCATCAGTGGAACTAAGTCAGATCCACGCATGGTAGGAGTGTGGAGCGGCATGCAGGCCTGTAATCCTACCCGTGGAAGGGCTGCTGCGGGGAGGGTGAGCGCTCAGGCCCAGCAGGAGCTGCTCTCGGGGTTCAGTCTCTCTTGCTCCACCTGAGCCCCGGTTTCTTCGCTAGTGTAACATGGGAATAATGCTTCTTACTTTGAAAGACTGTTATGAGAACTTGCTGTATACACATGTGTGTATGTTAAGTTTATGGGGTTTCATTGTTTTGTTTTGTTTTTTTGAGAAAAGGTTTCTCTGTGCAACCCTGGCTGTCCTGGAACTCGCTCTGTAGACCAGGCTGGTCTCCAACACAGAGATCAGCCTGCCTCTGCCTTCCAAGGGCTGGGATTAAAAATGTGCACCACCACTGCCTGGTGCTTATCGTTTTTTTTAAATGTTTATTTTTTTTATTTTATGGGTGTAGGTGTTTTGCCTGTAAGTATATCCGTGCACCAGGCATGCCGAGCTGTCTCTCCAGCTCCTGGGTTTTTTTTTTTTAAATATTTATTTATTTATTTATTATGTATACAATTATGTATGTAATGAGGGCACCAGACCTCATCACAGATGGTTGTGAGCCACCATGTGGTTGCCGGGAATTGAACTCAGGACCTTTGGAAGAGCAGGCAATGCTCTTAACTGCCAAGTCATCTCTCCAGCCCCCTGGGTTTTATTTTTTAAGCTAAGGATAGTAGCAATTGAGAGGTGGAGGCAGAAAGATTGCCTCAAGTTCAGGGCCAGCTAGACTATTATAGTAATTTTCAGGTCAGCCTGGGCTACAGTGTGAAACTAACTCAAAAAAAAAAAAAAGTATTTTTAGGTTCACAGCAAAATTGACAGAAAGGTAAGAGATTTCCTGTGTGGTCCCACATGCTGCCCCAACTATAACAGCATTAAGTTAACATTTTGGAACATTTAAATAATGCCATACACACAGTCCCAGATCAGTGTGGCTTTGCATCTATACACATTGGCTGTGAATGAAACAGGCCAGGGAGTGCCAGCCGCAGCTGGGATTGTGAGGAGGCTCAGTCCAGAAGAAGGAGGGGACAAACTCTGGGATGAGGTAACCATGACACTTGCCCCCCCCCCCCCCAGGTTGGCGAAGGAAGAGGTGAGCCGGCAGGAGCTGAGGCAGCGGGTCCGCATGGCCGACAATGAGGTCATGGATGCCTTTCGCAAGATCATGGCTGCCCGGCAGAAGAAGCGCACCCCCACGAAGAAGGAAAAGGACCAGGCCTGGAAGACCCTGAAGGAGCGGGAGAGCATTTTGAAGCTCCTAGACGGGTAGCCTTGCCTGCTGTTGGCCACTTCCCTGGCCTGGCAAAAGTCCACTTCCGTTGAAGCCGTTGCTGGGGGCTGCCCATCAAATGACAACAGTCTCAGGGCTGAAATACTCTCAGGCCACTCTCTGAGCTTTTGTGCAGCCGGCATGCAAGGCCTTACTGTGCAGGCCTGGACCTAGCATCTGCCTGGGGCCCCAGATGAGCGGGCTTGTTCCTGGCTGTCCCCTTTCCTTCTTCAGACTCTCGACACCTTCCCCTCGAGGACTTCTTCCTTGTGGGTTTGTAAAGTACAGAATAAAGTGACTGCTGTGTTTTGTTTTGTTTTTAAAAAAAATTTCAAAAACATCTACAGTTTTTGAGTATCTGTTACTGTGTAGGAAGGGCTTGGATAGTTAAAATGTTTCAGAAAGGCGTGTTTGGTGGCTCTCAGCTTGTTACCACTCACCCACATTTATTTTCGAGCACTTTTTTTCTGAGCCAGCAGGAGCTGAGGCAGACAGTGAGGCCGTGGATGAGGGCATGGTGGCAGGAGGGTGGGTCCTGGGATTCCTCAGGCAGGGATGCCTTCAGAGCTACTGCACAGGGCCACCCAGGACCCATTCCCTTAGGCTTCCATAGTGCCAGCTCTCACTGAGGTGTCTCAGCTGTGGGTAGCCGGAAGGATCAGCCAAATGGTTCATTTGTGTTTGTTACTGAAGCCAGCTGGCCATGGCCTTCCCAAAAAGCGACAAGCCTTGTCCGTCCCAGATGTTCCCATGTCTTATCTAAGCCCAAACTGGGCTATTGTCCCCATTTCCGACACAACCGTTAGGGTTAAGGTAACTGCTGCAGTGTTTCTCAACCTGTGGGTGGCGATCCCTTTGGGGCTCAACATCCCCTTCACAGAGGTCGCCTAAGATCATTGGAAAACTCAGATATTTACATTATCATTGATAACAGTAGCAAAATTACAGTTCTGAAGCAGCAATAAGAATAGTTTTGGGGAGGGAAACGGGAGGCAGGGAGAAGGTGGAAATTTTTTCAATAAAAAATTAAAATAAAAAATAAAGAATAGTTTTATGCTTGGGGGTCAGGACAACAGGAACTGTATGAAGGGTCACAGCATTAAGAAGGGTGAGAACCACTGCCCTACTGGGATCTTAATTTTTTAATTTTTTTTTTTTTTTTTTTTTTTTGATTTTCGAGACAGGGTTTCTCCATAGCTTTTGGTTCCTGTCCTGGAACTAGCTCTCATAGACCAGGCTGCCTGTCTCTGCCTCCCGAGTGCTGGAATTAGAGGCGTGAGCCACCACCGCCCGGCCTCCCTACTGGGATCTTGTTTTAGCTTTTTGTTTTGTTTGGAGACAGACTCTGGCTAGCTCTAAACTTGGGGCAATCTTGCTTCTGCCTCATCTGCTGGGATTACAGGCCTGGACCATAGTGCTGCCCGACCTCCTTAGAGTTCCAGTCATGCAGCCCCACAAAGCCGACCCCATCAGCATTCAAAGGCAGGGTGCCATAGCCTGAGCAGGGAGCCTGCCCAAGGGATGCACAGACTGTGCTCTCCTCCCTGTGCTTTCTCCCCAGGCTAGGGTTAGAGCTGAAGAATTGGCAATTTGCTATAGGAAAGGAAGAGACATTTTACTGAGGAAACCACCTACGAACTGAGCCACAAAGAGAGATGAACTTTGTAGTGGCAAGAGCCTGCAATCGCCAGGTGGTGGTGGCGCACGCCTTTAATCCCAGCACTCGGGAGGCAGAGGCAGGCGGATCTCTGTGAGTTTGAGACCAGCCTGGTCTACAAGAGCTAGTTCCAGGACAGGCTCCAAAAAACCACAGAGAAACCCTGTCTCGAAAAACCAAAAAAAAAAAAAAAAAAAAAGAGCCTGCAATCCTAGCTCTCAGAAGGCTGAGGTAGGGGGGCTGCAGGTTCAGAATATAGACCCTATCTTTTAAAACAAAAGTAGGAGGTTAGCATCTCTCTGCTATGGAATGTCACTGTCAAACCCTTGGCCAATCATAATGACGGGTTCAAAACTGACTGTGACTCAACCAGAGTCACTCAGGCGGTCCTTAAAATTGCTCTGTGGAGTCTGGCATGGTTGTATAAGCCTGCATTCCCAGCCCTTGAGAATTAGAGGCAAGAAAGTCAGGAGTTCAAGGACAGCCTGACTTACTTGAAACCTTGTTGTAAAAACAAAAACAATTGAAGTTGAGCAAGATGGTATAGCCTTGTAATCCCAGCACTCTGGGGGTAGAGATAGCTAAATCAGGAGACCAGGGTCTTCGCTGGCTGGATATCAAGTTTGAGGATAGCATCAGCCACATGAGGCCCTGTCTGACAACAGAAAGGAAAGAAAAAGGAAGAGAGTGGAAAGAAGGGAAGGAGGGAGCCCAAACAGGAAACAAAGGCACCCAGTGGCCTGTTCTGCTGCATGTGGGTGAACCCCTGGGAATTAGGCCAGCTCAGCAGCAGTACAGGAAGTGGAGCAGCTGGAGTCACATGACCTCCCAACAGACTGCTAGTTAGGTCAGCCTATAAAGGCTTCAGTTAACTTAAGTCAGGTTGGGTCATTTGTAAACAGAAAGGCCTGACTAATAAGAGTATACACTGGACAAACATAAAGATGGAGGAAGGGCCTGAGGGAACGACATCAGGCTCTCTGCCTGCTATTAGGGGCAGCAGGGACAGGTAATGACTCATTGTCCCCAGGCTGTTCATATCTTCCAGAGAGAAAAACAAACAAACAAACACCCACACAGGAAAGAATGACAGTAACTCCAGCAATAATAATGAAACTAAGCACTCTGTAAACATTAGCCAGGTACCAGCTGCTGTTTTAACCTTGTTTGGGCATATGATAGGATACCAACAACATCTCATTCTCCACAGATGAGAACACGGAGGCCAAGGATGTTACACACCCTTGCTTGGTCCAAGTGGTTGAGCAGCGCTTCTTGGTTATGGAACTGGGTGCGACCCTGGCCCAGAACAGGCTGTGTGAATAGCATTTCCTTCCCTTGGGCAGAGCCATTTTGTGCCAACATGGCAGCCTTGCTCACAAACCCCTAATTCTAACCACTCATTCCATATTCATTAGGGCTGTCCATAAGTATGGTAGGTGGCATGGGGAGAGTTTCAGGAACAGAGAGTTTTGTGGAGGAGGTGAGATCCAAGGGCCCCAAACTGGGTAGAAGCGTGAGAGGAGGAAGATAGAGACTGTACATAGAAGGCAGTGTGCTGGGGACCGACAGGACGGAGCAGCTGTGAGGGTTTATTATTCCATCCAAGAGACCAGGAAGGGAGCTGGCCTCTCCTGTAAGGCCACAGAGGACACGCAGGCTCACAGAGAAGTGATGCCCTACAGGGTGTCTGCAGCCTTGGTACAGACTGTTACTGTTTCCAGGAAGAACCACCCACAGACAGTTCTCTTGTTATTTAATATTTTAAAATGTTAATTATATGAAAATATGTGTCTGCGCGCATGAATTTAGTGACCTCAGAGGCCAGGCGAGGGCGTCAGATCCTATGGAGCTGAAGTTGCAGGGGTCAAGCGTGGCCTGACATGGGTGCTGGGAACTGAAGAGCAGCAAGTGCTCTTAACTGCGGAACCATCTCTCCAGCCCATTTCTGTTTTTTTTTTTTTTTTTTTTTTAAGGCAGAATCTCACGGATCCCAGCCTGGTCTCAAACTCACTCTTGGAATGACCCTGAGCATCTGGTCTGCCTGTCCCTTCTTTCCACTGCTTCGTTTCTGCTGTGCTGGTGATGGAACTCAGGGTTTTGTGCCTGACAGGTAAGCATGCTACTAACCGGGCTGCATCTCCAGCCTTACCTCTATACAGTTTGGGCAGCTATGTCTGGTGTCACTGGGACAAATCAGGCCTCCTTTGTGGATTTGGGAGGAAACTGGGATCCCTCGGTAGAGAAGGAATAAGTTCCAGTCACTGTCCAATTTTTACTTGAAGCCACCCCAACACTTTGTGACTAAATGGGCAAAAAAAAAAAAAAAAAAAAAAGTCTATCGCATCTTACTTGGCCCTAGAAGGGCTGCATGTGCTACCCAAAAATATTTTCCAAAGTCCCAGATGCCTCTGTGAGCCCAGAGAGATAAGCTTGTGCAACAGCAGGTCCCAGACTGCCAGCTCCTGAAAGAACTCCAGTTGAAGATGTCTGGATGAATGTCAGAGGACTTTGGTTAGCAGGTAAAGTCCCCTCCTGGCCTAGGGCTCCAGACTCAACAGAGAGAAACAGGCACAAATGGCCCCCTGGTATGATGTGCCCTGGCTGGGTACCACTGACTCCATTTACCTGCTCTCCTTCCTCAATCACACATTTGTTCCCTTACTCCACAGCTGTTTCTAGAGGCACAGGTGACTAAGGCTTCCGTGACAGGCAGTGGAAGATGCAGGCGGTAAGAGCAGGCTCAGAAGAGTGTGAGCAAGCTGCCAGGGACCTGGGGCAGAGAATGACTCAACAGCAGCTCAGAGAGCCGAGAGGGGCTTCAGAGAGCCTCAGACAGGAAGGGCTGGTCAACAGAAGATGACATTCCAGACAGAGGAATAAAATGCAGAGGTGTGAGCAGCTGGCTTAGAGAGGTGAGAATTTCAGCTCTTGGGTGTGTGCAGAGAAGGGGAAGGGCAGATGAAACTGCAAAGTAGGCTAGCAGCAGGCTGGGAAAGGCTGAAAACCAGCGCAGATTTATTCCCCAGGCGAATGGTTTCCAAAGTAGTCCCTAGGGACTGCGAAGATCGCTTAGTGATCAAGAGCACTGGAGGCTCTTCCAGAAGACCAGGGTTCAATTCCTAGCACAGCTGGAACTCCAGTCCTCTGTGGGCACTTGCATGCATGTGGTGCACAGTCATACAAACAAGCCAAACAATCATACACATAACATAAAAACAAAAAACAGCAAAGTGTGGTCCCTGGGTGTGTGTGCCTCAGCATCACCTGGGAACCTGATAAAATAGAAAGAACTCTTGGGCCCGGACCCACAGACCTATAGACCTGGAAACTCTGAGGCTGGGGCCCAAGTATCTCAGTTTTATTTTGTTTAGTTTTGAGACAGTGACTCTATCTCAGTTTCAAAATGTCCTCTGAGGCAGAGGTGTTAGAGGTAAGTTCAGTCACTAGGAAGGCAGAGACTTGAGAATCACTTGAACTCAGGAGTTTGAAGCAGCCTGTGCAAAATAGGATAGCCTTCCCCATAAAAATCAGATAGATACGTAGTCAGACAGTTAGACTGGGCATGGTAGTTTACATCTGTAAACCTAGTTCTCGGGAGGATGAGGTAGTTGTCATAAGTTCAAGACCAGTCTGGGCTATAGAGTGAGTTCTGAGTCAGGCTGAGCTATAATGAAATCCTACCACACAAGCACGAGAATCTGAGTTCAGATTCCCCAAAACTCATACAAAAAGTATCTTGTTGGAGTGGTGTGGAGGCCACCTGAAGTTTGGCCAGCCAGCCTAGCTACACTGATGAGCTTCAGGACCAGTGAGAGATCCATTTAGACAAGTAACTAAATAGAGATCGGAGCTGGACACGTGGCTCAGGAGTTAAGAGCACTTGCTGCTCAATGATGAGGACCAAAATTCAGATTTCAGCACTAAAGTCAGGTGCCTCACAATGGCTGTAACTCCAGCTCCAAGGCATTCTGTTAGTTCTGCAGGTTCCTGTGGGCAGCTGCATATACTCAGGGTATGTGTACAGACACTGCATATACTCAGGGTATGTGTACAGACACGCACGCAAAATAAATGTGTCCCCAGGGGAACGCTGGGAGTTGTAGTGTTGCAAGAGAACAACAGTGGAGGGATTCAGATTTTTATTTAAAAATTTGTTGTTGTTTGGTTTTTCAAGACAACAAGTTCCTGGCAGTCCTGGAACTCGCCTCAAACTTAGAGAAAGCCACCTGCCTCTACACCCACCACCACCTTCCCATCATTCCAGTTTCTTCTTTCTTCTTTCTTTTTTTCCCTTTCTTTCTTTCTTTCTTTTTTTGTTGTTTTTTTTTTTTTTTTTCGAGACAAGGTTTCTCTGTAACTTTGGAGCCTATGTTGGAACTAGCTCTTTTTTTTTCCCCTTTGGAAGAAAAGTTCTGCCTCCAACCCAGATGATCCTAACTTCAACATCCCTCTTAAAATTTGAGCACCTCTAAGCCTGCCAAGGTCCTCTAGAAAACTGGAAAACGTATATTTCATGGGTTGGGGTGATGGTGGATGGGTTAGTTGATTTTTTTAATTTATTTGTTTTTTTAAATTTTACTGATGTTTATTGAGCTCTACATTCTTCTCTGTTCCCCTCCCTGTCTCTTCCCTCCCCCACTTCAACCTTCCCCCAAGGTCTCCATGTTCCCAATTTACTCAGGAGATCTTGTCTTTTTCTACTTTCTACTTCCCATGTAGATTAGATCTATGTAAGTCTCTCTTAGTGTCCACATTCTTCTCTGGGATTGTGGTTTATAGGCTAGCTTTCTTTGCTTTATGTTTAAAAACCACCTATGAGTGAGTACATGTGATAATTGCCTTTCTGTGTCTGGGTTACCTCACTCAAAATAATGTTTTCTAGCTCCATGCATTTTCCTGAAAAATTCAAGATGTTATTTTTTTTCTGCTGTGTAGAACTCCATTGTGTAAATGTACCACATTTTCCTTATCCGTTCTTCGGTCAAGGGGCATTTAGGTTGTTTCCAGGTTCTGGCTATGGCAAACAAAGCTGCTATGAACATAGTTGAGCACGTGTCCTTGTGGCACGATTGAGCATCCTTTGGGTATATACCCAAAAGTGGTATTAGTGGGTCTTTTTTTTTTTTTGGTTTTTCGAGACAGGGTTTCTCTGTGGTTTTGGAGCCTGTCCTGAAACTAGCTCTTGTAGACCAGGCTGGTCTCAGACTCTGACAGAGATCTGCCTGCCACTGCCTCCTGAGTACTGGGATTAAAGACATATGCCACTACCGCCCGGTATCATTCCAGTTTCTATAAAAGAAATGATCCAAGTTTTTGTAGCCAACTGGATGCCATCTTTTCCTCTACAGTCAAACATTCTGAGCCAATCTCATTTTCACCTTTTTTTTCGAGGCAGTCTTTCTCTGTAGCTTTTTTTTTTCTTCCTGGAACTAGTTCTTGTAGACCAGGTTGGCCTCAAACTCACAGAGATCTTCCTGCCTCTGACTCTGACATGCTGGGATTAAAGGTGTGCACCACCACAGCCTGGCTAAAGATGTATTTATTTATTTGTCTATTTACTTATTTATACAGTATTCTGCCTTCACACCAGAAAAAGGCATCAGATCCTATTATAGATGGTTGTGGGCCACTATGTGCTTGCTGGGACTTGAACTCAGGACCTCTGGAAGAACAGGAAGTGCTCTTAACCTCTGAGCCATCTTTCCAGGTCCCTCAGAGTCATTCTTGTGCTGGCTTCTAAAATGACTAGAATGAAATTTCGTATCTCATTAGAATGAAGCTTTGAAATGTTCCCTGCACCTCTGACAGAAAATGGAGTGAGGATTTCAGGGGAGATTATTTCCTTCCTCTCCCTTTCTCTCTAAGACAAGATACCCTCAAATTCAATATGTAGCTGAGGATGGCCCTGAATTTATCCTGTTGACTCCACCTGCTGAATGCTGGGGTTACATACTGTACCGCTGTTCCACCACATCCAGTTTCATGGTACTGGGTATTGGACCCAAGGCTGTACAGTCAAGCACTGTGCAACTGAACCACATCCACAGCTTCCCCCTCCCCACCTTTCTTAAAGATTCTTGATACCCAGCTCTGGAAAACATCTTTGTGCATCTGAGGTCAGCCTAGTCTAGTTTCAGGCCAGTCAAAGGTTCAAAGTGAGTCTCTCTCTCTCTGTCTCTCTGTCTCTCTCTCTCTTACACACACACACACACACACACACACACACACACACACACACACACTGATTTATTTATGTGCGTGTGCACCCTTTGTGAGTTTATATGCACCACCTGCATGCAGATGCCTGAAGGTCCAGAAGAGAGTATCTGACCCCCAGAACTAAAGTTGCAGCAGTTTGGAGCCCCCCTATGTGAGTGCTGGAAACCAAACCCCTGGTTCTCAGCAGGAGCAGTAAGTGCTCTTAATCCATCTCTCTAGCTTCCCTCATTGTGACCTCTGATAAAGTTCAGGGCATACCATTAAAATATACTCTGGGAAGACATTTCAGTGAAGGATCCTTTGTGAGTAATATACTTTGCACAAACAAGTTCTTTGTCCCTGTCACAGACCTATACAGGGACAGTGAAGGGCTCGGTGGGTAAAGGAGCCACCAAATCTGATAGCCTGAGTGTGATCCTTGGGACCCATAGGTGGCAGAAGAGAACCAATTCCCCCAGCTGGCCTCCTCAAGAGCGTGTTGTGGAATTTGTGCACAAGCATACACACAAATAAATTTAAATTAAAACTTCTATTTTGCAGCTTCAACTTCACCATATTCCAGCTTCCCCTGCTGCAAGTGGCCAGCATCACTAAATGATCCAACAACCTAAAACCTGTAAAATATCATAATAAAGGAGAAATAATAAAGTGGCTATAGCCGGTTCTGGAAAGACACATGACACAGAATCTCCTTCATAAATAAAGTTTATTGAAAGAAAGTGTTGAGGTGGTTTGAATAAGCATGGCCCCATAGGCTCATATATTTGAATGCTTAGTCACCAGAGAGAGGCACTCTTTGAGAATGCTTAGAAGAATTAGGAGGTGTTGCCTTTTTGAAGTGGGTTTAGCCTTGCTGGAGGAAGTGTATCACTAGAGCTAGGCTTTGAGGTTTCAAAAGTCCATGCCAAGTCCACTGTCTCTCTTTGCCTATGGATCAGGGCATAGCTCTCAGTTACTGCTTCAGGGCCCTCCCAAAGGCCTCCATGCTCCCACCATGATGATAATGGACCTCTGAAAATCTAAGAAAGCCCCTAATTAAATGCTTTCCTTTAATGGAATTGAATTGGTTATGGTGTCTCTTTTCAGCAACAGAACGGTGACTAAGCTGGGTGTTGGTAGTGCACACCTTTAATCCCAGCACTCAGGAAGCAGAGACAGGCAGATCTCTGTGAGTTCGAGGCCAGTCTGGTCTACAAAGCAAGTTCTAGAAACCCTGTCTCAAAAACCAAAATAAATAAACAAACAAACAAACCAACCAACCAACAAACAAAAAACCAGTGACTAAGACAAGCCTCACCGCGATGATCAGGCCTCAAGATAGGAAAGAGAGGACAGACATCAGAAAGAAAGTGGTACAATACATCCAAAGCTGCGTATCAGAGTCTTAAAAGGAAGAAGGGGTTTCCCCGCCATGATGGGCCACCATTCAATGCTCATGCTCATCAGAATACAAAGCATGAATAGCGAAGAAAAATTCTATCCAGAAATATCAGAAATATCAATATTGCTAAGATAATAGCAGATGTAATCTGGACACGTTTGGAACCTAAA